TACAGACAGATACTCGATGACAATCTCTACGTTTGGACATTTTATGTAAAAAAGAGATAAGAACAAGCATAATTGCTGCTATATTTGTTTCTGCAATGTTTCTCGCTAACACACGTTACAATCACACGCAAGTGCACGATAATTTGGAGTGTGGCCAAGGAGTTTAACGTTTCCGATGTATCAGTGACTGATATCATTCATAATTGGTGAAATGACCAATTCCATTCCAGTGTCATAAAAACACCTGAATATTCATATTTTAATATTAATGTTTTTATTGATGAGTATGCAAAAATAAATATGAACAATTAGTGGTTAACGTTTCTAGCTCAGTGTGTAGTCAGTTGAACAGCAGTTAATAAAATTTCAACTTAAACTTGACTTTTAGGCACTTGAGTGACTACCATTTTGTCAAAATAACAAGACTACACATGGTCTTTCAGGTTGTGTCTCTTAATCACAAACATTACTTTGTCAGAAATCGTCTTTAGCTCATCCATCGTAATTGGCTTGTACCAACTACAAAAGGGCTTCATACATTGTACCCATGTGGGGAATCGAACCCGGGTCTTCGGCGTGACGAGCGAACGCTTTCACCTCGAGGTGTGTTTGTTGGTTTGTTGTTCAACGCCGCACTCAGCAATACTCCAGCTATGTGGCGTAAATAATCGAGTCTTGACCAGACAATCCAATGATTAACATCATGGGCATCGATCTACACAATTGGGATACTATGACATGTGTCAACCAAGTCAGCGAGGTTACTGACTGATTGAGTTTGGCTTTACGCCGCTTTTAGCAATATTACAGCAACACCACGGCGGAGGACACCAGAAATGGGCTTCACACGTTGTACCCATGTGGGGATTCGGACCCAGGTCTTCGGCGTGACGAGCCAACGCTTTAACCACTAGACTACCCCACTGCCCCACACGAGGTTACTATATACACCGCCCCAACTATATACATATAGAGCAAGTCACAACGTGTATAGATTAGCAATATGGTCCTATATTCGTGGCGGCCCACTGACAGCTGACAAGCGTGCCATGGGTTAATACGGCCTGTATGACAGCTATGTGACAACGGTTTGTAGATAATCAAATCTTGGACAAACAATCCAGAAATCATCCTCAACATATATATTGGGATACGATGACATGCGTTGTCATTTATAAATTAAAGGGAAACAAGCGTTAATGTGGATGCACCTGTATAGTTTTACTCTTTACCATAATATATTCATTGAAGATTAAAATCGTAGTAACATTATATTTGAGGGACACATCTGCCGCTACCATTAATAAGGTAATAAGCGTTCTGGGCTCCGATCCACTAACGGATCGTTGTGTTAAAGTAAGCCTAAGGAACGTCGTGACGCTAAGATGTCTCAGTGTAATACTGCCCAGTTCAGTCAGCTTAATATAGGATATTTATATAGCGCACATATCCACGCAACTAGTACATGCTCAAGGCGCTCTTTTCCCCCCTCGATCATTGGATGTCAGTCTCAACGGCACATCGTATTGTCAATCTCAACACCCTGGGGATCATACAACTCTTGAAGCCACTAGGCGCACCAAGTTATTGCGGCTTTCCAATCCTTATAAGATACCCATTCACAGCTGGGTGGACTGGGACACATAGTATTAGTCACAGTACTTTGGCCAAGTCCTATATCTTGCCAATATTTGACTATTGTTCGCATATTTGGGATAACTGTACGTCTGAGCAATCGCGTACATTAGAAAATTTACATCTTGATGCTCTGAGAACTATATGTGGTGCCGTTCGTGGCACAAGTCATAACAAACTTTATAATGAAACCAAATCTCAGTCCTTGCAAGATAGAAGGTATTGCCAGAAGTTCACTTTTTTCTATAAGATGTACAACAACCAATTGCCAAAATATCTTTGTGACCTGATCCCAAACTCCGTCTCCGGAACTACAAACTACAGCTTGAGGAATAACTCTGAAATACAAGGAATTTACAGTCGGACTGCCTCTTATGCTAATTCCTTTTTACCTGCCACAATAAATTTATGGAATGCCCTACCAAATTCCAAAGCGTCATGTAATCTCACAGAATTTAAAAACCTAATTACAAAAACTAAAAATATGATTAACTTTGACCTTAATTATGGCACTCGTTTTTGCCAAATCGTTCACTGCCACCTCAGGCTCGGATGTAGTGACCTAAACGCCGATAAGTATAACAGACATTTAATAGACAGCCCATGTTGTTCTTATGGATATCAGAGCGAAAACGCCCTACACTATTTCCTCACTTGCCGTAACTATACTCGGATAAGACTTAATTTGTATTTTTACATTACCGGTTTTAACCTGGATGCCATTCTTAAGGGAAACAAAGAACTTACTCCCTGTGTAAACCAGAAAATAGTTGAATCCGTCCACGATTATATAACCAAGACACAACGCTTCAAATTTTCTCAGGAAAATAATTAAATTTACTCAACAACCTTCTCATGATTGATTTATATTTCTACAATGGCTTGTTACACACACAACTGTAACTCTCTAACTTATGACTACTTAGAGAATAGTTGTATTTCATGTAATCTGTATATATTTATATATATTTAAAAATATTATATTTATGCAATGGTCAGTATCGATGACGTCAAATCCTCCATTTCATGTTGTATTATACGTTGCATGGGAGCGGTGTTAATATAAGCAGTAATGCTTGTTCACCAATCCCAATTCATCTTCATGAATAAAAATATGTTTAAATCAAGTTTACTGCACGTTGCTGTACCCGCAACTAGGTGTTTGCACGTATTCATGTGGCCACCATCTGGTTATTTACCAACGGATTCGTGGGTTCTTTTAAGTGCACAGGGTTGTGTACTGTACACTTGGGGTTGTGACAACACTAAAAGAGTCTGCACACAAAGTTGACTCCAAGGTTTTTATACCCGGTCACAGGTGGGTTTGATCCCGGCACCTCAAGCTCGCTGGGTCACTAGCCTGGCGCTTTAGACAGCTCGCCCACCATGCCCCCATACATATACTAAATAAAGGACAGTTTTGGAATTGATTTAAACTAATATCTTACTTAAAACGGCCACAGTTGTGTCAGGAACAACCCAGACCCAAATATCAAATATACTATATATATTGGATGTTCCACTTTTTAAGTATGTATTTGAAAGTTGTATGATTCTGCATGGATTTAGGAAATGATTATTCCATTCCAAACTTGCTATGAAGTTCCTGCCAACGCGCCCAATTCTTGCAACCGTTATTCATGAATTGCATGTCTCAGAGCAATTCAAGATTTTATGTGAAACATTTCTGTGTGTTGTTGTGCAGTTCATGATCAGTGATTAAATCTGGTATAAGACGTGAACTCCTTTAGTAATCCATATACATGTATACACAAGAGCATGTATAGAGCACTTCTGACACAAAGGGATTTTTTTTATAATTTCAGTCCAAACTAATCGATCATACCCATGCATACTGGAACGCACATGCAAACAACACGCTTCACACAATGTCTCAAAAGGTATGGATTGCATGTTGACGTGCTGCTAAGCACATTGGGACATCAATTTCATAATTGCATTATGTGGACTACATAAACGACGGCAGTTCCAAACATTAATTGTTCCAGACATACCAAGAAGTAGACGTTCAGAAAATATACGAATTAGTGGCACATTATTGGCATAGCATGACGCGGGATGTCATATCGCAACAGCGAGTGCAAACGTTACAAGAGGAAGAAGACATATGACTGTGATGGCCACGTTTTAATTCGTATGGCAAAACACAACCCTATGACCCGTGACGAAGAACTGCGTCAACAATGGTGGGATTCCGACAAATGCTATTTAGCTTGTTATTAAACTCAGGGGCTGTCACAGTATAGAAACAAACAACGGACGCTTGTCTGGACGCACTCTGGTACCCATGTAGTTGGCGGCTGACATGACATCTTGTTATTCGGTCAACCAAAAAGGAAAGAAGAATGAAGGGGTAAAATATTGTGAACCCATATGGGAAAAGTGCACCTGTCAACCCCTCAAAGCATTATTATATGGATGTCATAGAAAGGCAAGAGTGAATCCCAAGGGGCTTGGGTAATAATTGTCACATCTCATGTTGTCATGATGGTGTCAGCCCGATCTGTCGACAAATGAAAAATAGGATGTTGCTAATCGTCGACAGAACAAAAAACCCGGAGTGACGACATCGTGTGGTCAACATACCGTGACGTTGTTAATTAATGAAAGATAATGTTTGCTTAATGATTTGCAAGTGGCTATGTTCGTTCGTTTGGTTTATGCCCGGACTGTCGACAACAAGAAACAATCCGTCCAAATTACTTGTCGACAGTCCGGGAAAAGGGAGGTGATGTTCTACATGAGTGACTTCACTCCCACTGTTCTTGAAATTAACAAACCAATTAAAACAGAGTGTGATATATATAGTAGACAATATATTTATTCAGTCAATATAACAACATGCATGTATCATGCATGTATCATATGTCACACAATATAAAATATTTGTATATATATTTCATAAAGCTCACACAATATATTTGTGTGTGTGTTATACATAAATAAGTGATTTCTGCAGGTGTATAAGTAATAAATATATAAAAGATGAGTCCAGTTATTTCTTCTTAACTCCTTTACATGTATATCTGCACTAAAGTAATCTGAATGTTCAGCCAAGATGAAGCAACTGTGACACATGGTCTGTGTAATGTAAGTCAGTAAGTCTGTCGGCAAGAAGGTCGGCCTTCAAGGATCGAATCCTAGCGTCGATGATTCGGTAGCGACGTCTACGGACGGGATTTTGTTGTGCCAACCTTCCAAATTATTGTTAGTTCTGTGTCCATCATTTTCAAAATGATTCCAAGTTGGCAGTGTCCATGGACTTCTACCCAGGTGGTAGTAACGTAATCCATCAGCTATGTCGCCTTTTCACCTAGTGGTGCGTCTGCAGATATGATGGACAGGTTGCATCTGTACATCTCCAGTATGTTTTCTGAGCTCTGCGTCTGTTGACTCTGTACTCGAATCCATTGTGGTAAAGATTCTGACCTCTTTGAATGTTGTCAATCAATGTAACCCGCACCATTGCATTTGCCATTTTGACAGTGGTAACAAAATATTCATGATCTATTATATATACCCAAATGCTAAATGTTTACAACAGCATTTCGATAATTCTTCTACTCCAATATCACAAAATAATTTGTAAGCTCTCTGTTTCTTTCCGGATGTTGTTGCATGTTAAACTCCAAAATGGTAATCCTTCCACTCGCATGACGTAAAATAATAGTCTGTTTTTGCAACCTTAATTCTCTTGCAAATTGTTAAAAAGACATTCTCTTTAATCAACTTAATTCATTTACTCATGATACGAGCATAGCTGTAGCCGCCATAGCCACTTGCAAACCACTAAGCAAACATTCTCTTTCATTAATTAATACCGTCTAGGTTTGTTGACCACGCGATGTCGACACTCCGGGTTTTTTGTTTTGTCGACGGTTAGCAACATCCTATATTTCATTTGTCGACAGATCGGGCTGGCACCGTTCGTTTCATGAGAAAATGAATTACGTTAATTATAGAGAATGTCCTTTTAACAATTTGTAAGAGAATAAAGTTTGCAAACAAACTATAATTTTACGTTATGCGATTGGAAGGATTACCATTTTGGAGTTTAACATGCAAAAGAAAATACCGGAAAGAAACAGAGAGCTTACAACTTATTTTGTCTTGGGAGTAGAAGGGTTATTGATTTGCTGTTGAAAACGTTTATTTGGATACATTTGGATTACGTTACTACCACCTGGGTAGAAGGTCCATGGCCAACTTGGAATCATTTTAAAAACAATGATGGACACAGAACTAACAATAATTTGGATGGTTGGCACAACAAAATCAACAAGTATGCCATAAAGACACATCCGAATGTGTTTGAGGATGTGCGAATGCTGCAAAAAGAACAGTCAGCTACTGAAGTTAAAATTCAGCAGATCCAAGGACAGCAGAGATCCCGCCCGTAGACGTCTCTACCGAATCATCGACGCTAGGATTCGGTCCTTGAAGGCCGACCTTCTCGCCAACCTTGCCTGAACTACACAGACCATGTGTCAGAGTTGCTTCATCCTGGCTGAACATTACAGATTAGAAGAAATATCTGGACTCATCTTTTATATATTTATTGCTTATACACATGTAGAAATCACTTATTTCAATAATACACAGACACATATATATTTGTAGATTTCTATAATACACAGACACATATATTTTATATTGTGTGACATATGATACATACATGTTGTTATATTGACTAAATACATATATTGTCTTCTATATATATCGCTCTCTGTTTTAATTGGTTTGTTAATTTCGAGAACACTGGGCGTGAAATACACAATGCCATTTAGAAAGTGATGACTGACTGACTGACTGAGTTAAGTTTCACACCGCTTTTAGCAATATTCCAGCAATATCACGGCGGGGGACACCAGAAATGGGCTTAACACATTGTGCCCATGTGGGGAATCGAACCCGGGTCTTCGGCGTGACGAAGAAAGTGATGAAATGTAACATATGTTATATTTGGGATTACACTTTCTTAGTAAAGTACAGATTCT